AAGAGGGAAGTGAAGAGTTACTGATGCACCTTCCAGGCAGAGGGGAGGAGCTGTTCCAACAGCCTTGAGCCTCCATAGGCAGGTAATCATGTGCTCTCCGCTGGGGCAGTCAGGTATGTCTTACTGCCTCGGGCTGTCCCAGAGAGACACCATTGCACCCACTCTTTTTTTTTTTTTTTTTGGCTTGCAGGATCTCAGTTCCCCGACCAGGGATTGAACCTGGGCTACGGCAGTGACCACTAGGCCACCAGGGAACTCCTGGACCCACTCTTAAGTGGAGAGTCCAAGTGGAAAATCCTGATTTTCATTAAGAGAGTCCACACAATCAAAGGCTGGGCTTCTCAGGCACAGAGGACCCACACCTGCTCTAGAAAACTGTAGATGCCTTTCTCTATATAAAACATTTCAAAGATGACACAGTCACCTAAATCCAACTACTGTGTTATAAGGAAAATAGCTGGCATTTGAGTGCTTTCTTTGTCAAGCACTGCTCTGGATATATGACCTTATTTGAGCCCCATTCTGACTTACAAATGAGGAAACTGAGTCAAAGAGAATTTAAGTAACTTGCTGCAAGTTATGCAGCTAGTAAAAATCAGGACTTGAACCAAGGTAGCCCAGATGCAAAGCATGTGTACTTAACCACTAAATGATTGTTTCCTGTGTTTCTAGCCAAGGCCCCCAAATCTTCAATTAATTTAGGGAACAATCTGGTGTCAAGAAAAAAAAAAAGAATAACTCATTAAAAAGTAATATTTGCCAGGATACAAAAGGGACCCCCACTTACCAAGATCATGTGATATCTAAATATATAATTTCCTTAAAAAAAAAGGCCGTTCTACATTTATTGTTTTGCAAACTAAATTTTTGTTATTTAACTTAATAAATAAGTTAAACATCTCTCCACGTCAAAACCTCTTTTAACGACTATGGAGTTTATCAACATACTTAACCAATTCCCCCCAAATCTTTTAAGTGTTTGCCGGATTGTCACTCTTGTGAAAAAAATGCAGCACCATTCTGAACAACACATTAGCAGCAATGCTTCCCCCCACCCCGACCCCAGAAAGTCTCATTTTCCTTCAACCCACTTTCTTCAGGCACTACTGGGGATTCACCCATGAAAATAAAACAACATTCCTGATCTCTGGATCTTCTATTCCAAGGGATGGGGAGGCGAGCAACAGATAATAAACATGTAATAATCAAGATTCCTTGAGATAGCATTAAGCGTCATGAAGAAATTGACAGGGCGATGTGATAGTGACTGGGTGGGGGGGTGACTTTGAAGTTGGGTGGTCAGGGAAAGACTCACAGAGAAGGTGACGTTTGAGTGAAGTCTCTGATTTTACCTGCACTGACCTAATTGCATCATTCCTCCACGCCTGTTCTCAAGTGGACATCTCTACAGGAGTGGGAAAACGTGGTAGGATGATCAGAGCACCTGTCACTCAGGAGTTGGGATGGGCACCCTGGCCTGGGAGATCCTGGGAGCTTTGAACTCTGTTCCCTCCCTGCTGCAAAATCAGCAGTTAGGTCCGTTCTCCCATCTTTTTGTGGACACGTGAACACATCCTAAATCAGCCAGCAGACTTTCCACCCTGAGAAGCAAATGCGGATTCAGAAAGAGTCAAGTATTTGAGAAAATTACTCTGATTGCCGCTGTGGATAGATGTCTTCAAGCGGCTGCTAGGAACAAAATGTGCTTGGCGGTACAGTTAAAAGAGGTGCAGCGGTGCTCAACGACTTCTTCCCTTGATTTCTGGCAAATAGGATCCCGCAGAAAGCTTCAGCAGAGAGAAAATGTGGTCTCAAAATCACAGCCACTTCTCCCTCACGGATGTGCACTAGTGCCTCCTTCCCCACCATCAGCCCCTCCTCCAAGCCACATTAAGGTTTCTATGGAGAAAAGCATGTGTTCTTCATAGTTCAGCTGTATTCAGTTGTGTATACAAGGCACCCTGGAAAGCTCCTAACGAGCCCCATTTCATTACATCTTCACTCTAATCATCCTCTGACTTAGCTGATATTCCCCCATTTGACAGATGAGGACACTGAGGCTCAGAGAGGGTAAATATTACACAAAATCTCACATCTAGGAAGCAGCAGGGCAGGCGGAGGACTCAAACAGCTGGTCCACCCGATTCTTAAACCCATTGTTAACCACCCAGGTACACCCCTTTTCCTGGTTCTGATGCTCAAGAGAGACTGGCCTGAGGTCACACAGACAGTAAATCAGAGGCATCGATTAGGTAACGTCAATTAAGCTGCCGTGATGAGCAACCCCCAAATCTCAGCAGCTTAGCGCAACACAAGTTCATTTCTCGCTCACCCTTAACGTGTCCACCGCATGGGGCTCTGCTCACCATAGTGGCCCAAGGACCCAGCAGGAAAGGGAATCTGACCTGAGCACTGGCCCTTAAAGCATCACCCTACAGGCCACGTGTCACTTTTTTTCGCTCAAGTATTTTTGAACAAAGCAAGTCACAGAGCGACCCCCGACTTTAAGAAGCCGAGAAGACCTGGGACTCTGGTGGGTGAAGGGCCCTGACAGTCCCTCCAGGCCGTGGGCAGGAACTTCAGTTTGCCTGTGAAGTAGTGTGCAGTCAGCCCACTGTGGATGACAACGCTTGGGCTATTTCCTTTTCTCCCCCTATCGATCCTCCTTTTTGGTTTATTGCTACTGAAAGTGAAACATCAGAGAGACGGACTCTGTCCAACCAGGCCCTTTCTTTATCAGTGGCTTTGCAAGAACGATGCTCAGGGCTTTTTAAGATCCCTGGGAAGCTTGCTGCATTTTTAGCTCATTTAACCTGCTGCCTGAAGTCACAATAGATTTTGGGTCGTCTTGGAAGTCTGCGTGAATGAGAAACCTCCATCTTCCCGCTCGGGTCTGAATATTTAAGATTTTGAAAGCTTGGCCGTACCAGATTTAATTTTAAAAGGGGAAGAGGGGTTGCTTTTGAACATCAAGGAGAAGGCTGGAGGCACAGCAGGAGCTGCGTTAGCAAAGGGGAAAAGCAAGAAAAGCCCTGTGGTCTTGAAAGAAACGCTCCAAAGCGGAAACACTAAAGCTTCCAGTTGGTGAGCCTTAAATCAGACTTCAAAAGTGCCGCTAGTTTAAATATTGTTTATAGGACTGAAGTATTGCTGCGCCTTCCTCCAGCTGGATTTTAAATATTCCCTAATTTGATTACTCTGGGGAGAGGCAGGCAGAACCAACGTTACATGAGCTTCACTGTTAATTATTCAGAGGGCTTTTTATTGTGTAATCAAACATAAAGTCTTACAAAAAGCTTGGAGGCACATCCTCACCCCACCCTCCCCAGCCTGCCTTTCACCTTGTCGTCTGTGTGCATTTCTCAGTTTGCGGCTGTGAGCTGGTAGGTGCCCAGCAAGGGCTCTGCCAATAAAGAGCACACACATCCCCCTCCCCGTCTGGGCTGGTAAAAACCTTTGATTCTGCGGCTCAGACCCCCATGCCATAAGAATCGAGCTTTATCTTGATCACCTTTGCCTCCTATCTGAGCGTCTCCCCCCACCACCAGCACTTGGCAGCCCCTGCTAAGTCTAGACTCCTGTTGGTGCCTCCCCACATCAAACTGGTCTGGCCATCTCATTCCCTCAAGTCCCTCCTCTATGCTGAGTGACAGCCAGCCAAATGATCTAAAGGCTCCCAGCCATCTAAAATCCTTTCTGCAGAGAAAAAGAAGATAGATAAAGAAAGGGATGTATGGATGGGTGGATGGATGGAGAGATCAACAGATCAATCAGTCAATACATAGGTAGAGGTCGCTGAGAGAGCTTGCTTATCATCAGGGATCCACCACCCCATAGCCACAGGTCTAAAATCCAAAAGGCTCTGAAAACTCAGTTTTCCCAAAACTCAATTTGACAGCAAAATCTGACGCGAACCAAACTGATTTGGTGGCAAAACTTGACTTGAAGGTATTTATGGTCTTTATCCCACCTAGTGCAAATATTCACATATATCATTGCAGAAATATTAATGTGTTTGACCATAAGATGCTGCCGAGACCCCCCTGGAAGGATTATGTTAACATACGGTATACGTGCAGCATATTTCCATTCCAAAATGCCAAGATTCTGAATTTGGCAACACATCCGGTCCCACAGGTTTCAGATCAAGGGTTATATAGGTATATCACCATCCAAACTTGCTGGGGCTTCAGTCTCATACCCAGAAAGTTCCAGCCCATGAGGGAAGATGCAGGTTTCACGTAACCTGAAGTTTATTTAATGGGGGAGAAAAAGAATACAAAGTTAATACAAAATGAGGTACAGGGCCCTGGCGGGACCCATGCAAGTGAGGGTCATTAGATTCATTGTGAATATGCACCTGGATGAGTGACTTAAGACCCCGAGTTTGTTTTCTCATCTGTAAAATGGGATGATAAGTGACTGCATCACAAGGTTTTGTTGAGATGATTCAGCGAGAATGCACGGAAGCGTCTTGCATGTAGAATTGTGTAGAATTTTCACTCAGTAAACTCCAAACCAGTGATTTTCATTGTGCAACGCACCCTATAAGCTCCCCCCGGCCCAAGCAAAGTTAGTAATTCTCTCTGTGCGTTTCTCAGAAGTGGCCCTGATGGTGGGACCCTTAGGCACCAGAGCAGGCAGAGATTTGGAAATGAACATGCTTTTTAATTCACCCCCAAGAGGAACCGCAGACCTGCCCTGGAGTCTATGAGAGGACCCAAGTCCAAAACGCAAACAGATGCGGAATGTGTACAAATACACTCCACCTCCCTCAGTCCCTTCCCAGTAAGCGGTGGGCTCTCCTAACCTTGATTCCCACTCGCAAGATCCGGCTGTGGAGAACTGTCCCTTCCACTGCTTCCTGAGTATAGGAGGGGGAAAAAAATCACAGCAGAGAACAGCCACCATCCATCATCTCTTTATTGCATTTCTTAAAAGTACTTGTAATAAACTGAGGGTCTAGAAACGGAAAACTCATTAAGCTGTTTCTCACTCAGGGACCCAGGTGGAAGCAAGAGCACAATAAAAAAAATCAATAAGGACAAGTCCATGGGACAGAGGTGGGAGCGCTTCATCACAGCCCCAAAGGTAACTGTCAGCACGTGACTCTGCTGCCTGGCTACCAGCCCCAACTTGGGTGGGAGGCATTTTCGCCAGTCTTCTCTCTGATGGGATTTTTTTTTTCTAGTTGGTTCTCTGAGTGAAGGGAAGTCAGAACCTCATGCTGTTGGATGGTTTTTATAAATTTTAATTAAAATGCTTATCTGGGGATTCTAGAAGAAATGTCATTTGGCTGGACACCACCTCACGCAGCAGGGAAGGGGTGGCCGAGCAGCCACCTAATAAGATGTCACTGGAAGGAAATGGATTCGCTCACTGTCTACGTTTAATCAGTAACGGTCACTTCTCTTTCTCTCTCGCTCTCCCTTTCAAACTCAGTCAGAAAATAAGTGAGTGATTGAACAGACAGGGTTTTCTACAAACTAGAACGTGTGTTTATTAGTAAGAGAAAATCAAGAGGTCTATTCTTTTCACTCAAAACCATTCCTAACCCCCAAAACCCCCAAACTCATCCACTTAACAAACAAGCACCATAATAATAATAATGGCAAGAGTAGAGAGCTAAAGGCAGTTGAGAGAACACACAATGAGATTTTTGCTGAACCTGTGCTCCAACCCACAAAATGGATATAATGCTGGTTTCTGCTCACTTCTTTTTCTTTTTTTGTTAGTTTCTGCTTTATAACAGTGAATCAGTTATACATATACATATGTTCCCATACCTCTTCCCTCTTGCATCTCCCTCCCTCCCACCCTCCCTATCCCACCCCTCTAGGTGGTCACAAAGCACCAAGCTCATCTCCCTGTGCTATGCGGCTGCTTCCCACTAGCTATCTGTTTTACGTTAGTAAAGAACCCCAGGAAACAGTATGCAATCTCACCTTGAAAATGTGAAAATGCTGAGCATTATTGTAGTTACATAATTTTTAGAAGCCAATCTTGAACAGAATTACAGTGGGCCAGGTTCTGTGCTAAGGAAGCTCTTTAGGTGTATTAGCCAGTCCTGTGCTTCTGATAACACCATGGGGGCAGTATTCTTATTTCCAGGTAGGAGAGCAGAAAGTTAGGGCTAGAATAGGTTAAGTGATTTGCATGAGGCCACACAGCTGGGCAGTGGCAGAGCCAAGAGTTAATCCTGGATCTGTTTACTAAAGCACTGAGGTCTTCAACCTCAGTGGGTTGGAGCACAGGTTCAGCAACAGTGTTTACTAAAGCACTGAGGTCTTCAAAAGCATGTTCTCCCTGGTAGGACATGAAGTTTCACCGTTTTCTTGCTGTTTCATCAGGGCACTTCTAAGTGCCCTGAGAAGGAGAGCCTTTGTTTTTATCACAGAAAGTTGCTATGGAGATATCGTGTGTATCTGTCTCCAGAGATGCACAGAAAAAGCAGGAGCCACAAACCTTTAAAAAAATGTCCTTCAGGAATAGTCATAACTACAGTTGGAGGAGGGACGAGTGAGTCACTGCACTTGAACTCTCACTGAATTGAAATCCCCCCATACCGGGCAAGTTTGTAGATCAAACCCTGGGCTGCAGTGTGGTCCATTCTGAGGATGAGGGAGCACTGAATTAGGAATCGGGAGACCTAGTTTAGCCACTGTGACTCTGTTCACTGCATGGCATTGGAGAAGTCCTTTCCTCTCTCCTGACCTCAGTTTCTTCACCTGTAAATTAAGGACTTTGAAAGAGAGGCTCCAGTCACCTTCCACAGCAACTGATAGTCTTCTGTTATGTGTGGAGCTTGTCAGCGCCAAGGCAGTGATCATTAAGAGCCGGACAAATGGCATAAATGAAAAAAATCAGGCTGGGTAACACGTTAGGGAGTGGTGAGGTCTGTGGCAAACAGGAATCCTGCACAGCTAAAGGGAAGAACCTCTGCTTAGTTCTACTCATCTCGCCATGTGAAAATGGGACCCAGGGCTTATCATTTTCAAGAGAGACCAGTAACCTCAGTTCTTATATAAAGATATTCCCAATCTGTAGAATTCTGGGCAGCTCAACATGTCTCCCCATGGGCCACCAGTTTGAAACCCCTCCTTCTAAGAAAGTACAAGGAAATCATTCAGGGAAGTCTTTTCCTTTGTTGCCAAAAAGCAGTCCCTCCTGACGTGCAACACGGCAGCCAGTTAGTACCACTCCTGAGTGAAATACAAAACATAGAGAAGAAGCATTTGGGGATTTAAGTCAGTTCAGGGAGAGTCAGTTCAGTAAAGGGCAAGCAGGATGCTGAAACTGCCTGTCACATCTTCCCCCCACATTTTATTTTTCTGCCACTCTCAGTTAATGAGAAGTGTCAGCCCTTCACTCTGGATTTCCTGTCTGTGGCTTTTAATTGAATTTCAATTAATGGTAACTTTAGGAGCACAGGATGAAATCCTAATGCAAGGAAGGTGCACACAGAACTCTGGGTATGGAAAGCTCTTCTGAGATCATCCCAGCCCGTCCTCTCTATTGTATAGACGAGGGGACGGAAGCAGGGGAGAGTGACCTGTTCAGGGCCCCCTTGAGGTCCCCTGGCTCTGAGTCTGGTGCTCATTGCAAGACTCCAGGCTGCCCTGGTGACACAGTCTGTCCAGCCTTCAAAAATGACATTGATGTAAAGAGTGTGGTTTCCAGAGTCAAGAATTCATGTCGTGCCAGGTGAGACAGGAAGAGTTGCCTTCTACAGGTATTATCCCTGAGCACTGACATTCTCTCTCCCTATGGGGGCAGAGAGCAGAGGGGCTGTCAGTCTGGCAAGCTCTTGTCCAGTTGCGACGCCAGGACAAAGGGGACATTGCACCAAGCCCCTAATTTATCAAAGGGAAGAACATGCCAACTTTTGGCATTTGCTTTTTCCTTATCACAGTCATTTTGTAACTCCCATGCTCCCTTGGAGATCCGGTTAAACCCAGTTTGAACCCCAGTTCCCCAGAGGCTATCACATTCTGAAGCACTCCATCACTTGTGTAGAATTTCACTGAATACGTTGGGGGAGGTGGCCTTCGCAGGAAGATATCACATCTTAAGCCCCACAGCCTTCTTCCGTCTCTCTTCCCCCACCCTCCCCTTGCCCTGTGCAAGCAAGAAGTCCCTCCGCTCTTCTGGAGCAGGGAGGTTCCACCTACACTCAGGGCCCCATGAGGTGGCCAATCAAAACATTACTTCTGATCACACACAGTGGACTCCCTGAGGTGAGTCATGCTGAAAACAATTCTCTCCACCCTGTTAGATATTTATTAAATGTTGTGTGGTCTTCAGTGCTGCCTCTTCTCCTTATCTTCTTCCCTAGGGTATCACACACTATGACTTTCATCCAAAGAAGACCTTGGACTGCCCTCCAAGGGCTTTCATTTCAAATGTTCTCAAATGAAATTGTTTCTGTTTTCATGGTGTGTAAACTGTAACCCAGACCCTCACTGAGCTCTTATCCTGGAGCAGCTGAGCAACTTAGGGCAAGTTAGGAAGCCTAAGACATGAAGCATGAATTAAATGAAGACACAAGCCCACACAGTACATTCTGAAGTGACACCAATCATGCAAGAGGGTGTGTGTGCGCGCACGCACGCACACACACACAGACACGCACACATTCCTGTAACCTGTCCACTCTGACTGTTTCCTTCCAAAAATCCCCATTCTTCTCGCAGGACTTTCCCT